TAGGCAATCATAGTAGTTTATATGGCCACTATTAAGATTTGTCTGATTTTGAGAGCATTTTGTAATTGTTTGATAGTTCACCATTAAGTGTTAGCCATGTTGGTAAGCTTTGATCAGTTCTGGTTAGTTTTGGTTTTTGAAAGTCACAGTTAGTTGGAGTTTATTCCATTGAATAGCATGTTTTGATTTAGGGCATTTGCGCTTAGCTAATCGAGATAATATACATACTTTGAATGTCATGTAGATAGTGTAGTTGATCCAGCATATTAATTTTCAGATTTTAGTATCATTTTTGTGATTTGTATGTTCAGAGCTACTTGAATATCAAATAAAAGTCTTGGCATGTTTAAAGTTTTTTTAGTTTGAATCTGGGCTGGATTCTTGGCCTCATAAGTCGGTCTGTTTATCATGAGGCTTGGACGTGACCAGATTTGGTCTTTCTTTTGCTTGGGGCTCAATTTGGAGCCCAATAGTCTTTAGCCTTAGGTAGTTTTCCTTTTTTAAAGTTTTATGTTAGTTTAATAAGAAAAGGATTTTCAGTGTGGAATTGTTGGGCTGGGCATCAGCCCAAATAAATATCCTTGATCATATTAGGTTTTCGAATGTCCATGCTTTTTGGGCTCATCTTCGAGCCCAGGCTGCCGTAACATTTTCTTTTTCTTAATCAAATGTTAAGTTGCGCCTACAGCTGATCCAGTTTCCTCCAAATAATTAAAGGCCCAGCACATGTACCCCAAACTTTCTTACACTAATAGTTATATATTAAGTTCAAAACAATTTGTAAGTAAGAATATCCTTAGGCCTAATTAAGTGTAATTCTTTTAAATGGTTGAGGTGCGCCATCCTAATTGAATCGCCTATGGCCCTCTTATTAATATTATAACTTAGATATTAAAAATGAATGCTCGTAGTTTGCTTTAGGCACGTTTAATATATCGTCGTGGTTGTGGACACGTTCGCATGACATAATTATGATTCTAAAGACAAAATCAGAGTATGCATTCGCGCAACTTCGATCAAACTTCCTTAATAATAATAAAGCGTTATTAGTTGTGGACGTGTACGCGTATGCGTGACATGATTTTTTGACGCGCCAAACAAATGGGTACACGTACGCGTGACCCGTTTCAAGATAATTTCTTAATTAAAAGAGGCAAATGCACATAGGTTCTAAAATAAGTAATTAGACAATTTTAATGAGCCAAGCATGATCAAAGCGACCGTGCTAAAACCACGGAACCCGGGAATGTCTAACACCTTTTCCCAGGTTAACAAAATTTCTTACCCGGATTTCTGTGTTCGCAGACCATAAATAAGAGTCATCTTCCTCGATTCGGAATTTTAAACCGGTGACTCGGGACACCATAAATTATCTTAAGTGGTGACTCTGATTTAATATAATAATCTCGTTTCGACTGTCACTTAAATTGGAAAAAACTCCCTTATACTTCTTCCAGGGTAGAAAAAGGAGGTGTGACAGCTCTGGCGACTCTCCTGGGGATCAAGAACCGAGAACTTTTGGTTCGGGGTTCAAGAATTCGAGCTTTTTAATATAATTTTGTTTGGCTTTATATATTGTTAATATTACTGTATTTTGTGAACCTTTTGTGCTAATTGCTGTCTATTTACCGCTTTGATATTATTTGAATTGTATATAACTATCTTCTTACGCCACCCCTATGAGTCTTTTGAAAATGGTGCACACGTTCGCGTGGCCCGCTTTTTCTGTAGAAGTCATACCAAATAGAACGAGGTTGGGCCAGCAACAAGGCCAGTAGACTTTAGGTCCCCCGGTACGTTGCCCCTCTTTGGCTTGAGTTGTCCGCTTAGGTAAGCTAGGTCAAGAACACAATCCCAGGTTTAAACTTAGAATAACACAACCTCATACCGGATCCATAGTAGGAGCGTTTGTTTGCATCACGTGCATTTGACTTTGGGGAATCAACACAGGGGTTGGGTCCTTGGACAGGTGTACCCAAAATAACAGACCATCCTGATGCATCCTATGTGCTATATGAATATTTATTTGTTTCGGCTTGCATGTTGACCGGCTAGGAAAAGTAAATCAAGAGGAAAACCAAGAGTGATGTAGGGAAGAAATAAAGCCCGATTCTAAAAAATCCCTGGTATTTGGAAATGTCCCGAAACTCTGCCAAAATTTTCAAAAAAAAAAAGAGAGAGAAAAAGAAAAGAGTCAAGGAAAAAGAGTCATTTCAAAATGAGTCAATAATATGTCTCTTTCAAATATGTCAAAACTGACCGAATCACGCAGGTCTAATTCTCACCGGATGTGGGATATGTAGGCAACCTTCATAAGGTTCGGCCTTATTTTTCAAAAAAAAAGAGAGAAAAAAAGAGTAAATAGTCAAATAGATGTAGTTTGGATTTCGGTCAAGAGAATAAGCCCACCCAGCTTCAGTTATCTCTTAAGTTGTTCTTGTCGGGATAGCCTTAGAGTATCTTTCAGTTGTCGAAGGGCTATTTTCGTAAAGAATGGATAAGTCTGTTAGTAAAGTGTCATTTTTCCATAAAGTACTTTTCCCCGACCTCAAAATTTTTTTTGGAATGTGAAGGAGCCACGTTTGCAAAAACGACCACTTTTGCTAAAAGTAGCATAGAGGGGAGGGGGTCATGGTCTGTTGATTTTTCTTTTACAAAGTGAAAAACCTCTTTTACAAAAAGTCAGTGGAGAATTTCCATCCATTTGTTGTCTCCTTCGCTACCGCTTCGTGGGGTCAACATTATGAAATTAGCCAGGTTCAGTTCTGACTATAGCTGCAACCTATCTCATATTTGGCCGCCCTCAATCACAAACTAGAAATTTGATAAGATAAAGTAAAGAAAGAATTTCGGACTACGTTCAAGGTATGCCAGTTGATTGAAAATGAAACTCTACTTTCAAGATTCAAGATTAGGTAAGTGTTCAGTGTACTAAGGTACAAGATCGGAAAAAAACGCAGATAGCAAATTCCTTAGGCTAGATAGAGTGGTGGTTGTAAATTACTAGGTAGGCATACAACACTCGGCCCAAGCAAGGCCCAAAATCCCCATGCCTTTCTTGGTCGGACCAACCCAACCGACGATTTCCGACAAAGAAGGAATAAAAAAAATCAGACTAGTCGTATGAAGGCGAAGAAGAAAGTCGTGCTTACTCTCACCTTCTTTCTTGTGTTGTAAGAAGGGCGAAAGGGAACCAGAGCAGCAAGCATCACAACTAGTGACATTCCCTGCCATAACATTCACTTCAAGGTGAACGGACTCCCGCAGCACTATACATTTCCCTGAAGCGCCTAGCCTTTAGTTCATTTGCAATAGAGAAGGCCTAGAAAGTCAGTCCACTAGCAATTTCATTGGCCCTTTTGAATCCTAGATTCTCCTTCAATCCAAAAGCCGTCATTCACATGTGCTATGTGTCTAGAGTTTACCTTCGGATCAGACCTCAAAAACAGAAAGAGAAAAAAAAATGTCTTTGTGGCAACTATGTTATACCGTTAGTGCCCCTCACCAGAAAGCCACTGAACTCGCTTTCAAGAAGAGTCTTTCTTGCTTCCAATTCATAGACTTAAAAAAGGGGATTTGCCACATCGTTGAGTGATCTTTAAAAAGGAAGTCGGCCTTCACTATCTTCCAATCTTCAAAGGACAGTGGAATTAGGCTTTATCCGATGTAAGAGCTTCTTCTTTCGTCCTCTAGTCTTCTTTTAAAAGAAGGAGGAATGCCCCAACCATGATGTTGCGCGTAGAAATCCTCCCTCCATACCATGACCTCTCTATATATAGATATAGGAGCCTTACCAGACTTAGACAGCTTCGAGAAGACTCCCTGCCTTAGGAGCTATTTCAAATGAGATAGGAGTGAAAGCAAGGCCGAGAGGAGGAGAGAATGGAATACTAGGGGATAATCCTAGGACTTCAAGAAAGTTAGGCGAATGGTGCCTATACCTGAAAGCACATAAGCTCCATTCCAAGACTTTGAATGCAAACTAAATCGAAAGCTAATGGAAGGCTAGAGGACCTGGCCCACTAAACTAAAGGATAGGCATATGGAGGAGTAGTTAGCTATCTGGACTAATCATGCGATTTTTATTTTAGAAGATCTACTGAATTACTAAAGGCGAACTAGGCTCCTTGGCCGGGACGTCTGGCAGAATGCTTGGCCTCCTGCACTGGATGCGAGACCCGAAGTGTGAGCTTATGGCGGTTAGCTTCTAGCACTAAATAATAGGCATTAGGCATTCTAAGCTGAAAGGAGGCAGGCAAATGAAAGGAGGCATTGCGGGCCGACTACAAGAAAAGCAAAGCTTCGTAGACTCGGTCAAGTCGCTTATAGAAAATTGATGACTATTTTCCACTTAATTAATAAGTGAAGGGTAGAGGGAAGCGAGGCTTATCAAGCTTTATAAGGCCGACCACTACATAAGCCGCTGGCAGAGAAAGCTCAAAGAGCTTCCCTTCATTCATTACTAAGACAAGGTCCTAAGTCTCCGAGTCAGCCCACGCTTTTTCGAAGAATCCTGCACCCATGGGCATACGGCCTGGCAGACCTTCCCTTTCTGCCGAAGCTTCATGGGCGTTGCCCCGTTCCCCAATCAAATGTTTGGATGTGAGCTATACTTTGCGAGGAGCCAAACGGGCGATGGCCTTGACATTTGACCTCTTTTCCCGTGTGACTAGGAATGCTCAGTGACAACCTCTCAATTGTCACCGCCTGGCCTCTCTTTCTACCACGGTAGCACCTAGTGTGGTCAGCACCAATCGTGTTCGGGCAACGAAGCTTACACTCATTCACATTGGTTCATCCTGCTATGCCCTAGGCCTTTTGCTCTTATAACATAAAAGGTGGTCGGTCATTCGTCAAGGCCCAGGAATCCGCTGGACATCTCAGCGGCGGGATTTGATACCTGCATCCGATCGAAGTTGCATTTTAGTGCTCCCCTAACATAAAGAGGAGACTTTTCTAAGTGGGTCGCTTCGCGCAAGACATTTCTTAGGACCAACGGTTCACACGACAAGTGCACGATCTACTTTGCACCTTCCATCCTTCAGCCCTTCGCCTATCGGCTTGGCAGGCAAGCTACCTTGATTCGTCTTCGGCTTCGATTCGTTACGCTTAGAAGCTCCAACAAGCCCTAAAGTCTCTTGCCACCTAAAACTCTGCCAAGAGAGCGCTGCTTTACGTTTGATCCTATGTACCTATAGAATGCTATGCATTCTCCACTTTCGGATCTCGCAAAGAGAGAACGTGTTTTTTCCTCTGACTTTCTCTCTCATTCGCGGAGCGAAGAAAGCGAGCTTTGCCCCAGCTAACGCTATCCTTGGGAAACCAAAAGAGCTACCAAAGGAAAGGGATGCAGTCTCTCCCTTAGCCTTTGGAGAGGAGAGGGCAGAGAAGAAAATGTCCTTCGTGCAAGTTTTTTTGCTTCCTGCCTCCTTACTAGTAAAAAGGACCGCCAGAGTCAAACCTAACCTCAACCTTCCACAGGTACAAATGAACACTGTCCAGAATCCGTCAGAATTGGTCATAGAATAGGCTCAATTTCAGCTGCGTATGTGGTGGAATGATCTAGATGAAGATGGTCGGGATTGGGTAAAAGAGCAGTTGGGTGCCCTTGTAGACATTCTGGAAATCGAACCACGGAAAGATCTAATCAAGGCTTTGGTAATTTTTTGGGACCCCGTCCACAATATTTTTCGTTTCTCAGATTTTGAGATCACCCCTACTTTGGAGGAAATGGCGGGGTATATTGGGTTTGGTCGGGACTTGAGGAAACAACAACTTATATTTCCAAGGGATCCTTCTGTGCACAAGTTCTTTGACCTCCTGAATATCAGTAAGCAAATGAAGAAGGTCCATGTAACCAAAGGATGTTGTTCTTTCTACTTCTTGTACTTCAGTTCGGGCACTCAACTAGGTTCGAAATGCATGAAAAGGGTTTGAACAACAAACAAGATAAGGGCATCTGGCAAATTCATCGTCGGTTCGCTTTCATTGTGGCGTTTTTGGTTATTATGGTCTTTCCAAATGTAGAAGGGACAGTGGATATCCGTATGGCCAGAATTGAACAAATTCTTACTACTAAGAAAGATCATACACTTGCTTCGTTAGCGCTGGCAGACATTTATCAAGCATTGACATTGTGCAAGGCCAGGGCTCAGTTCTTTGAAGGTTGCAATATTCTTCTACAAATGTGGTTGATCGAGCATCTCTGCCATTACTCCAAATTCATGAGCTATGGTTCGAGCACAGATAACTTCATCAAGAACTATGAGGAAATGGTGAAAGACTACAATGCTCTAGAAGGGTTTGAAGCCTGGGTCTCCCACTTGAAAGCTTTAAAAGAAAGTCAGGTCGAGTGGACTATAGGATGGCTCCCGATGACAGAAACATACACATGATGGCTACCAAGGGTTAACTAATGTTGATGGGTTTGAGGAGTGTCCGGCCATATGCACCGCAGAGAGTCTTAAGGCAGTTAGGAAGATATCAGGTGGTGCCCGAAGATGAAGATCTAACCACCCAGGTCATTGAGCTACATCCACAAGCTACATTGCCCGAGACTTTAGTTTAGTAGGATTGGAATAGTTGCCGGTATCTGAAAAATGGCACCCAGGTACCAGATGTTGCAAAGAGGGAAGTGGATCCAGATTACGCTGTATGGTTTGAGAAAAGGTCTTGTGCAAACAATAAGCCAGAGCCCAAGCCCGAGAGGCCTACCAAGAGACCTCATGTTCAAGCTTTTGATGATAAAGTCTGAGAAAGGTTGGCCTGGCGAGACAAGGAGAAAAAATATCAAGCCACCATTCACACCTTGAATAAGAAATTGAGAAACATGGAATTCAATAATGATCTCCAGGAACAAGAAGCGGAAGGTGAAAGTAGGAGGTTGGCCAAAGAAAATGAAGCCCTCTGAGCCCAATTCTGAAAATGAAAATAGCAGCTGAGAACCATGTCAGGAGTGAAAAGGATAAGAAACTTATAGACAAGCTCAGGCTGAAAGTATGTGATTACGGTTTTGAGTTAGAAAAGACTGAAGCTGAACTAGCAAAGGCCCGAGCCAAGTTAGCTAAGAATGCGGAGGGACGGGAAAGTTTTGTTCAACAACTGAGGGAGAAGTATGACAAAGGAATGGTGGGTCTAAAGAAAAAGGTCAATGTCCTTGAGAACGAAATGACCAAACATGCAAGAGACTTCAAAGCAGAAAGGGAGCTCTGCTATGCCCTGATGTCGCAGCTAGAAAAAGACCTTCCGCAGCCTCAAGAGCAAAATCATACAGCTGAACATGTTTTGGAGGCCAGGTCTCAGTAGATTGGACGGTTGCTACAAGAGAAGGGTATCATCAGGGAGAGGGTTAGGAGGATTGCGTACTATATTGTAATGAAGTGCAATGAGTGCGAAGACATGACCCGGTCCATGTTCTTCGCTTCAGTTATGATTTTTATCCGACAAATCATGGATGACCTATTTTGCCTCCAAGAAGATATGGTGCATAGGCCCGCGGCAAGGGCAACTGGAGCAGTAGTGGAAGCACTTATGTATTCTTGATTTTATTTTTTGAGTCTGTATTGTAGTTTTTTTAGAGTTCGTTAGTCCATTTGGAGTCTTGTTTTAGTTTTTGAAAATGTTTAAGTCTGTAGGGAAGTCGTTGTAATCAGGATGTTTCTATATTGTTTTATTTTATAAATTTGAAAGAGAAAAGAAAAAAAACGAAAACCAAAAATATGTCTTTCTCTTATTTTGCATTTATCCCCTGAAATACGTAATGATCTGATTCATGCGGCGTCATGATACGTAGGCAATCCCCATAGGATTCGATCATAACCATAAAATGAAAAGGAAAAAGAGGAGAGAAACTAAAAGGAAATTGAGAGGAAATAAATAATGGCAAAACGAGAGAGAAAAACGAGTGCAAAATAAAAGGTAAGTAACAAAAACAAGTGGGAAAGGCCAATAATGGTTAAAGAGGGATTGGAGTAAAAAGAAAAAAGAGAAAGAAGAGAAAGTGCAAAATGAGAAGAGTTAGTTAAAAGCCGGGGTGAAGCATGCAGCCATTCAAATACACGATAGAAGCTTTAACTGTTTAGGTGCATTGCATCCCAAATGTGTGGTTGCCTACTTGTCAAATCTTAAACAGTAACAATTTGCTATTGGCATTGAGAGCAGGAAGGTGGTTAGTTTGTTTGGCAATCTAGCAACCCATCTGTACAACACCAGGTCTAAAAATAAGTTGATCATGGCTAGCCAAGAACTGGACGCAAGTATTATTAATCTACCGATAGAGGTGGGGGAGTATGAGGTTGGTTTGAAAAAGGAGCTACATAAGTTGAAACACCAGATGGTCGAAATGTACCAGGCATGGATGAAAGGGCATCCACCACCATCATACCCCGCCAACCACGCTTTCATCCCGCCACTAGCTCAATCCCAAAAACCTCCCACTGTTGACTCACCTCCACAACATGCACCAAGCTTCACCCCTTACCACCACTACCATGGCGCCACTTCCCAAACCTTACAAGCTCCACCAGTCAAAACAACCCCATACCCCCCTCCACCAGCTACCCTTATTTTCGTAGCACCTCTACCAGCTACACTCCATCGATCTACCAGTGAGCCATTATTCCAAACTCAAGATAATCAGTACTATCCCTCAGAGCCTACTTTCAAGGCCCTAGATCATTACTCCTACACTCCTCGTTTTGACCTCCCTGTTGAGACTGAGAAACCACATAAAAACCCGAAACAGGAGGAGATGTTTAGGAAAGTGAGAAGCCTGGAACAATCTCTTAGAAACATGCAAGGGTTGGGAGGTCAAGTGAGCGTAGCCTACAAAGATCTGTCTTTGTTCCTTGGCGTACAACTACCTGTTGGGTTCAAAATGCCCAAATTCGATCGGTATGACGGACATGGAGATCCCGTGGCCCACTTAAGGGGATTCTATAGTAAAATGAGAGGAGCCGGTGGGAAAGATGAGCTGTTAATGGCATACTTTTGCCAGAGTCTGAGTGGTGCGGCATTGGAGTGGTACATTCGTTAGGATCACAGTAGATGGTATACCTGGGATGATTTGGCCCAAGCATTCGCTCGTAATTTCCAATACAACATCGAGATTGTTCCAGATCGTTTGTCTTTGACTAAGATTGAGAAGAAGCCTAGTGAATGTTTCAGGGAATATGGTTTCCGCTGGAAAGAACAGGCAGCAAGGGTTAACCCTCCAATGGAGGAGAACGAAATGGTAGAATACTTTCTTCAGGCCTTGGAGCCTACTTACTTTGGTCATCTGAGCTCGGCCATAGGTAAGTCTTTCAATGAAGTAGTAAAAATGGGAGGAATGGTAGAGGAAGGGCTCAAATCAAGCAAGATCATGAGCTACTCTGCCATAAAAGCAACTATGCAGATAATCCAGAATGGCACCGGAGTCGTGCTTGGGAAAAAGAATAAAGAGGATGTCGCTATGGTCATTTCAGGATCGTGGCACGGCCTGGGGTATTCTTCTACCCACTACACCCAACCTCGACCCTAGCTTCAAACCTATACCCCAACTCCATATAATCTATCCCAACACTACTTCCCACCACCAGAGCCCCAGTACTCAGTCAGCCACCCCATTATCATGTCCATCATGCACAGTTATAGGCTCAACCCCCTCCCCACCTGCAATGGCGTGCCCCAGCTCCACGGAACCCTTACCAACCTCCACAAACATATTGAAACCCTGTTGGTCCAAACTTTTGGGCCAAGCTAGAATTTAAGAATGAAAGGTTGCAGCGAAAGAAAACTTTCACCCCGCTTGGGGAATCTTATACCATCCTATTTCAATGGTTGAGGCAGTTGGATGTTCTGAGGCCAATTGAGTCAAAACTACCAAACCCTCCTCCCAAGAACTTGGATTATCTCTCAGATGTGTGTACTGTTCTGATACTCCAGGGCACGACATAGAAAAGTGTTGGTATTTGAAGAACGCCATCCAAGAGCTCATTGATACGAACCAAATCCAGAGCCCAGAAGCACCAAACATCAATCAAAAACCATTGCCATCCCATGTTGAAACACATATGATTGAGATAGTGCACAAGGATGGGAAGCCGAAGAAGCCTTCACAATCTTTCAAGATGATCTGGTCTAGTGAAAGTAAGTCGGTCAAGGACCCGATTGTCACAAAAGCAACCTCTTTGATAGCTGAAGGATCGGCGGACAAGTTGAGCATGCCAAATGATAAGCCAGTTGTGGTAGTTGAAAAGAGGTCCCCAAGTGATGTTATAGAAAAGCAAGAAAAGCCAAAGGTGATTGTGCCGAGGGTTGCAAGTAAACCAGTCATAATTGTGGAAGGTGCTCGCACGGACCCTACCATTATCAAGCCTGTGACCCAGCTGTCGGCAGCTAACACCAAGAATGTCCCATGGAACTATGAGCGAGTGGCAATGACCTATAAGGGGAAGGAAGAGAAAGAGGAACTTAACGAGGCCCGGGGATTAACTCATTCGGGGAGATGCTTTGCCTCGGAAGAGTTAAGGAAAGCTAAAAC